AAGCAGGGACTCCCTGGCTGTCCACGGCTTCCATGAAGCAGTAATGTGATACAGGTGTTAATGGGACTCCTTTCAAAGATCTCTCGTAAGACTACTTAGGATCATTCGCTGTGTGCTAGCTGAAATAATACTTCTACTGCAAGATCCAATGCCTTGAAATGAAGTGATGATCATTTCGGATGGCTGCAGGAAACCAACTTTAGTCCTGCACCAAAGGGCACTGGTGAGAGAGGTTCCTGGTTACAAGGTGCTCCGCTTCACTGGGGTTTACTGGGTGCAACAACGAAAACCCACGTCACGAGGGCCACCACCTGTGGGCTATTGACTCTGATCAATCTTCTTCCGAAGAAGACGAATAAGTCGAAATGTTAGCCGAATAAATCCTTTTCACCAACCTCGTGTTAGTTTAAATAAGTCAAGAAGGTATTAATTTCGGACCATTTTTGATGGGTAGAAGCCGAATAAATCCTTTTCATTAAGCTCATGTTAGTTTAATAAGTTAAGAAGGTATTAATTTTGGATCATTTTGGACGACTAGAAGGTTGCGTTCTATCTGACATATACTCTAGGCTCTGTTCTTTTTTGCCGGCTATTTATTCTTCTCACAAAGAGCATGGGGCAACCTTTTTTCATGGGAAATATCTGCTATGTGATTCCCATGACAATAGTGTTCATTTAATTACTTTTCATTCTATGCTTACTGTACTTTCGGTTCTCCCTTCACTTCCAGGATTGTGGTTTCTTAAAATACTTGCAAAATATCAAAAGACTTTCTTTCCAGCTTTCTGCTGCTACGACTAGAAAATATATTACAGATCGGCATTCTTGTAACCTTCTCGGAAATCCAACGATTCAGTTGTTTCTTAAATCTAACTTCTTTTGCGCTACTTCTTAAGAACCTCATGAGCCTCACTACATATGGCAAGATTTTCTCTCCAGTCTTCTTGGAGACATTTATTAAGGTAAATGGCTTCGGAGTCACCAATGTCTGTTAGAGAATCTACTCGCTCTAGTGCAACCTGACGATTGTGGTAAGGATGGTGGTCCCCATCCTTGAAATATTCTAGACAGGGATAAGTGTAAAACAGTGAAGAAAACTGGTACAGGGTAACAATGGAACCTTTAAAATTCGAGTTTTTCGAATTTGCGATTACAATCTTTATCGTTGCTTCATATTACCGAAATATTCTCTTTGGACCATTCTTGGTCAGTTGTTCACGGCCATCGACATCCACCTTCCAGTAAATAGAAATGGCGCGTGCGTTGAACTCTTTTTTTGCCACTGTAGCTTTTTTCCTCACTGGTTAACTCTGAGTGAAAAACTTTCAATGTTTTAGAGCCTTTTTTTCGTCGAATTCTCACTAACATAAACCATCCAGCCACAGCTGATCTGTTTTAATGTAACATGTCATCAGTAGTTTTTTATCCATTTGACTGAATTGAGCTGCCTCGTGTTTCCGTATTGAAACTTCCGTTGCCTTGGAGCATGAACAACTTTAGTGAGTACCTATATTTCATCTCTTTCAAGCATCTGAACTGTCCATCCAGTCAGCTTTGCTTTCCCAGGGAACGCGGAGAGCCTCTCACTTTTCTAACACCATATACTTCCACGGTTTTTGGTGAAGGGGTGACTACGCCCTGCCTGTTAGCTTTCGATGTAAGGATTGTGTATTTTCACAGCAAGTACCTTGCTAGACTTTTTAGGATATATGCTGTGGATTTTTTTTTACAGCGGACTTACATTGGTTGGTATACGTCAAACTAGGCGCGGGCAGCGCGGTGGTAGAGGTGCCTGTCAATACTAATGGGATTACAACTTGAAGATCACCCCTTCGGTCACCCAGGTGTGGGAAACTTGTGACCAGAATTATCTGAGAAGAGCTCTCTACAAAACCTCGTTGTAGTGAAGTCGTAGAAACGCCCTAGGGCGGCTGTTCTAGGATTGCAAGAAGAATTGTCTCCCAATAAGTCATAGACAATAAAGAAAACCAAAGCGTTTAAGCAGAAGCCGAATCCACACACAAATTGAAAGACGTATGTAGACGATGAATGTGACAGGAATAACCGAATTTAGGAAGTGCTGGGACTAGAATGTGATGTTATGATATTGGATCAAGTAAAAGATGCCTTAAATCTGCATATTATAGAAGGGCAAACGCTAAACACGGTAAAATAAATACGCCTCATTCTTCTGACCACGAATCAGCTCCGGATACAGTACAAAGGCATGTAATTGATTTGGTGTCCACTTCTGAGGTGTGTAGATGCGACCAAAGACTGTTGAAAGAGTGGGTTACGGCGAGCGCGCAATACAGACATGCTCACTCGATCGACTCCACGCCGGGTCTACGGTGCTCCCATCTGCTCTAGCGCCTGTAAATGCTACGGGCTTTTCTGACAAATGCTTCACCCACACCGGAAAATGTGACAGCCTGTTGTGCAACCACGCAATATTTTAACAATATGTGAATATAGAACGAAAAAAATAAGTAGTTAAATAACTGAAAAAGATTAAACTGCCAACCACGACTCAGTCACTTATTAAGAGACACGCCAATTCTAGAGAACTGGTTGAGAAAGTATGCTGTTGTGAGGTGAACATATCACAGCTGACGGAATAATGATTGGGACCAGTGTGGACGAGAAATGCTTTGCCCGTTCCGATGCACACCAACAATATTCAAAGTGACGGCACCATCTCACCTGTATCACCTGTTGTCCCGTTGTTCATCAAGTAACTTGAGCGGGCTCCAGTAAATCTTCTATTTTTCCCTGCCGCGAACAAGAGTAACCCAGTGGGAACTGCTTGCTCTAGGGACTCGCCGAGCATCACATCTTTCTTCTAGGTTCTTCGTGAAGAGTTTGACACCCCAAGGAATCCAGTCACTAACGACTCTTGTCCATCGGTTGTTATTCACGCGCACTACTTGCGCGGTCCACCTTACCTTCGACTGCTTGGCGTACAGAGTGGCATCTTTGAATTTTTATCGCTGACGCAGATCGGAGCCTCGGAACCCTTGCTTGTGTGGAACGGGATACTCCCAGCATCGTGCATTCGACTGCGCGTTCGATAACGCTGAGTGACCTTTCATCCTGCTTACGCAGCGACCAGGTTTCTGACGCTTACTTTAGGTCAGAAAGAACCGTTGAGTCGAAAAGGTGGGCATGGAGTCGGGTGTTCTTTCTTCTCTTCACTATATCCTCGATGCTCTTCAATGCTCCCAAGCCGCTCTTTTCCTTCTGCTCAGCTCTGGAGCTAGGTCGCTCATCACGTTGATTTCCTGACCTAGATAGATATAACTGGAGCATTCGAAGACATTTGTTCCGTTGAGGGTAAATGAGGCATACGAAACCAATCCGTTCTTCATGAACAACGTTTTTGAGGATTTAGTCGAAGACCAATCTTTCCACAGGCTTTATCAAAGTCGTCAAGCATACGTTCCGCCTGGCTAATGTTTGGTGTTATAAGGACGATGTCATCAGCAAAGCGAAGAAGACGTAACTGCCGACCATCGATTTTCACTCCCATATTATCCCTTTCCAATGTCGCATGATGTTCTGGAGGGTGGGGGTAAATAATTTTGGCGCGATGGCATCGCCTTGCCTAACTATTCTTCTGACGTCACTGTTAACATCGTTGTAGAATGGTGATATCTTGGTTGTGGAATTTTTGTACAGCTCGCGAAGAATCTTTATGTACTGAGTAGGGACTCCTTGACTATGAAGGGCTTCCAAGACTACTTCTATCTCAACTGAATCAAAGGCCTTCTGCAAATCGATGAAAGTGAGACACAGCGGTCTTTTGCACTCTCGCGATACTTCAATGAGCGTTGTTACCGTGTGGATGTGGTCCATCGTACTGAATCCGTTTCGAAACCCTGCTTGCTCACATGGCTGTCTTTCGTCTAGTGTTCTGTCAATCGTGTTTAAGATGACTCGACTGGAAAGTTTGTAGACGACAGACAGCAAGCAGATTGGGCAATAGTTGCCGATATCGTGCAGCTCACCCTTCATGATGAATAACACGGTCTTGATGGTCTTCCACTAAGTAGGGACCTTGGATTCAGACAAGCAACGTGCGAAAAGCCGAGCCAGTGTGTTTACGAGGGCTGGCGGAAGGTTCTTCAGGAGTTCCGGTCTTATCCTGTCCGGACCTGGTGCTGTTCAATTTTTCACCGACGAAATGGCATGTTGGATTTCGGAAGGGAGAACCGGTGGTACAACATATCCATCCTCCTTTATTTCATATGACGTGAGGTGGACGTGGCTATCGAAGAGATCTGAGCAGTATTAGTGAAGGATTTTCTTCATTGCCTTTCTGGACGCTGTACCTGACCCGTCTGGGCGTCCGAGTGGTCCTGTAATTGGCGAAGCTTCGATGGGCTTTGCGAATGCTTTTCCCAGCCTCTGCAGCTTCGACTATTACTGCCGCTCTTCTCTCTTTAAGATTTTCTTTTATCGCCTACCTTCATTGTTTTGCAAGTTCGGACGTTAGTTCGCGGTTGCCTTTCGCGGCTGTTTCTGGCGGCAGACGTCTCCTGGTGACTTTCGAACTCTCAGATTTCGTAGCGCTAACGTGAAGATGTTGAATGAGCCGACCGTATTCTTCGTCGATGTTATCGACAACGGCATCTTCCCAATAGCCGACTAATGAATTGATGTAATAAGTCCCAGTTTACGGTGGTTCTAGGACTTCGGTTTTTGAATTTAGCGGCTTTTTCTCCTCTCTGCGAGAAATAGAATCTTGCATGAATGAGACGGTGGTCTGATCCTGTGTAGAATTTTGGGACAAAATCGGCATCGGTTAGGCAAAACCCATTTACTATGATGTGATCTATTTCGTTATGGTACTCTCCACTGGGAGACTCCCACGTCCACGGCTGAGGATGGGGCTTCCGGAATTGCGAGTTACCATGGATTGACTTGGTCGCCATGTTAAACTCAGACAGCCGTTCACCCCGTTCGTTCCACTTCAATCCGCTGGTCCCAATGTGACGTTCTTAAGACGTTCTTCTTGGTCTAGTCTTGCCATTGAAATCTCCAATGATTGCCTTGAAGAATGTGTGGTCTTCTCTGTAGAACTTCTCCAAGTCCATATAGAACGCTTCGACTTCTTCTTCGTCATAGTTTGGTGTCGTCGCGTACACGACGAAGATTTTCAAGGCCGGTATTGATCCACGTCTTTTTAATCGCAAACGTCCGATTGGGGTTGTATGCTGTTCGAATGAATCGATTTTCACGGACAAACTCGTGCTGACGAGAACGCCGACGCCGCCGACTCCTCTACTGTTGCATGTTCCGAGGAACAGTTCTTCTTCGGTGTCATGGACAGCGTTGAATGGGTGGCGTCGTCTTGTTTCGGCCAAGCCGATGACGTCGTACCTCATCCTTCTTGCTTACAAGAGCAAGTCTTCTATCGAGGACTCAGATGCAAGTGTACGTGCATTGTGGTTACAGATCGTCACCATAATTCTTCGTGATCCAGGCAGCTTCCATTGGCCCTGAGATTTTAGCAGCTTCTTCGTACTCGTCCTAAGCAACGCTGCGAAATTGGGGGCTCTTTCGAGCTCAGGGAATGAGGCTCGTTTCTTTCACTGTTTTTAGCTTTTGATACCCGCGTATAGGTTGCTGGCCTCTGAACATAAAGGCTGGATATACTCACAGGTAGCTTGCCAGGCTCTCGCAGAGTGGACATAGAGCGCATTTGTTGGAGGCGCTTTCTAACCGGCTCCCATATACTTTCCTGTCACTTGATTGCAGGCTTTTGGCCGAATTGACTCTTAGAATACAATCCGTAAAAGCGAGAACGGACCCACACAGGCATGCATAAATACGCCTAGCAAATACAAAAAGCGTATGCCAAATCAGGGTAGCAGAAAGAGGGAGTCCATCCCCTAGATCCACCTGCCTCTCAGGGAAGCAAAGGTCGCTTTTGGTCCGCGATTAACCCTCTATCCGCCACCTGGGGACGCGCCACGTACCCTCGCATCTAACCGGCTCGAGATCCCTATATAAGGGAGATCCGTGGGAGTCCCATCTTGCGGAGAGAAATCTTTGTTGTGTTTGGGATGCGTCTTTGTGTTATCGCTGCAAATTCCCGTTGATAAGCTCGCTAGACGATGACAGTCATGTTGGCGGTACTATACAAGAAAGTGCGGTTCGGAAATTTTTTTAATGTCGTCAAAGCTATTCTATAGTAGAAAATGGTCGCAGTTCGTATGTTTGTGATACTCGTCGTAGAAGTCCTTCAAATAACCAGTTCTGTGTGAACGAAGAAACAGTGACTAGCGAGCGCTAAAACAAGCCGGATTCCTAAAGAGGTGAAATTGATTGGGAATCGATGTTGTGTGAACTTTACGACCGCTAAAGTTATTCAGCAAAATTTTGGGCACCGACTCCTAGCAAAACAATGGTGTCCGCTCAAAAGGACAAGACACTTATGAGTTAACTGCGTCAACGAAATGTCCTTGGTGGACTCTGGTGTGAATTCCACCCAGGTGTTCAGGTCTTGCTCGAGACAGTTTGCCATGGGCTTCTTGTTCTCCATATGCATAACAGGAATATGTTATAGCAATGATTAGAGATATCGTGCAATAGGCACACTTCACCGTTTGACTGTGTCCGTCCCACTAGAGTCACCAAACTTATATAATTCTCGTTGGCTAAGAGCTCTGCTCAACCCAAAAAACCTGGCGACTGCTTTTGGAGAACACTTGGAGTCGCTGTAGAAGAGCTGTCTCAGGATTCTATGATAGATTAACCCGACCGGACTCTCATGAAGTCGAAATGTTCAACCAATAACCTGCATGTATGAATAGTAAAAGACGAGAAACTTCATGGAAGTGCCGCGACCCATGCAATATTTGATAACGGCTCACAAAAAACAGTTATGGATAACAGTTACAGTACTCATATTCTCGTCCTATTCTTCTCCGTCTCGAGATTGGCGAAAGCCTTCGGCTTGTTCACTGTCAGTCTCGTGATTCATCATCGATGTATCGATCATTGCAGTGGGACGATGAGGTGCTTAGTAAAGATGTCATCATCACGAATGCCTCAATGTACGCCTCTTCGATGATGCTGTTAACGAAGTCTCAAAGGAATCATAAGGAATCCCAACGGTAATATACGGATGCAAGGATCGGGATTATCGAAGCCTCAAATAGCCACAAACGCTTCAATCAAGTCGAAAGAATATGCAATGACAAACAAGATAACTGGGTAGTAATACCGAACCATTACACTACGGGATATTTGAGGCGAATTTTTGAAAATACCGAAAAGAAATTCTGTGTTCAATGCAGGAGACAGCAGTGTCTTCCGGAATGAAATATTTCCATTTCTGCATGGTGACACGAATAAACGGCTTCCGCAATTCCACAACGAATTCCGTCGCTGGCGGATTCGAACCGAGCAACGCCCGACACGCATGGTCTTTTGCTGAATATCATTCCACGTTTTCAACAAATTGGACATCTTGACGTATCATAGATTCTACTATGCATAGAACTTGCTTTTATTTCTCATTCATTTCTATTCAGAAGAGATCGACTTTCTATAAACCTCGGCACGATAGTCGGTATATCTGTAAATATGTTCTTACGGACTCCCATTTTTTTGCCGATGCGAGGTTGGTATAGATGTTCTTATTGTTGTTGTCGTCTTTGTTTAAGAGCTGACGTTTCGGTGACTTGGCCTTTCTCAGAGCCTTCCCAGGAATTTCGTACATCGATAATTGCAACATCTGAGACGACAACTTATCATTTGAGAAGAAAAGATTCTGTTTAACGACAGCGAAACTAAACCGACATGAAGTACGACACTGGGCCTCATCCGCTTTACTCACCATGCTTTCATGGTTACGACTTTTTCAAATATTTGTGCAACACCCTTAACAAATAAACATCTTCACAGCAACGGGTCGAGAACACGTGGTTGGTTGGATCCGGTGGCCAAAACCTTTATGTAGATGGACTGCTTAGATCTATAACAAGCTGCCAAAAGTGCACGAATTGTAAATGTTTTTATGTCGTCGACATAGTTGAACTTCTGACACGGTTATAGCGTTTTAATCCTTCCATTCAGAATTGGACGTTTCTCATTAATCATTAATTTCATTCAATCACTCATTAACAACCAATAGTTTTATAGCAAATATTAAATACCGTCGCCAAAATCCCTGAAAACTGTGCTTAGAAATTCTGTAATATTGCTATTGAAACAGCTGGAACACTAAAGACAGTAAGTCATAAGGCCTTATTCTGTCGTCAAATATTCTACCCGATAAAGCAACAGCGAGTTGTAGTGGTCAAGGAACAAAGCGCAACAAAGAAATAAACCCTCTACAATGTCGCCTTCGCAAGAAGAGTGAGTGCTGTACGTTTGGGTGACAATGACCGATGAATCACATCGGCTGCGGGAAGTATCGATAGAGAATCGCATGTAGCTCCGTCTCCAGGACCAGCCAACATCGAAGAGACGGAACCGGGTGACTTTCGTAGAGGCGGCCAAATTATGAGATCATCTCTCCATGAGATCACACAGTGCTTAAGAACGGAAAAGAGAGAAGAAGGAATAGAAGAAGAATATGAAAAAGATGAATAAAAAGAGAAACTTCAAGAGTAATAAATGAAGTCTTAATGGAATTTACGACAGATGTCTATCATGTTGCTAGATGACATTCAAAGAAGGAGATCTAAGCAACGAATGTACAGCATCAAAGAAACGTATTCATTCGAGGTGCTGAATGAGTGAGAAGGACATTTACTCACTGAGAATGGAAGTTCCCTGTAATTCTTGTTAGATAGATCACAACATTGACTTCGCTGTCTCCAGAATGTTTTAGCTTTTGTTCACTACCTCTTCTTTCCTCATGGCAGCGTGTTACGAGACATACAATCACCAAGATGCCGAGATAAGAGCAAAAGTTGTATTGATTTCGAATCCCCATGTATCCTTTCAGAGGACTCTCATGTTATCCACTGTACCAACCGAGGCCCTTCCTTTGCTTTCTTCTCATTGTTTCCAGAATGCTCGATTGAGTCCGAACCTACTTAAGACGGCACTGGAGAGCACTATCCCCGTAAAGAGCAGCTCACGTCACTCCCAGTAGGGAAATTCGGCTGACAGAACAACTGATAAAGATCAACGATGAGACGAATAGTGTCATTATATCGATGACATTATTTCTTTGAACCATAAACACCTAAGGCAAAAAGAAACGATCTATAGTTTCATTTAGGATATTCTACAAAAAAGTGGCTGTAAAAGAGAACGAACCCAGTTGGCCACCCATTAATGATAAATCGGATTTCTCATACATATTTGGCAAAAAAATCACCACGCCATTAGAGACGTCAAAGAAAAAAAGCCTTCTCTTTATCTAGACAGAAGTTGCTCTATTCAGGGAGAACTGTGAATTGCTTTAGTGGTATAGCATTATATTAAACATCACTACAAAAGAATGAAGAATAACGGCATGAATAGAGTCTGGAGAATGAAGCTCACCCTGTCGAGGTAATCTACACCGAGGGTGCTGAACGCAGTAGCTGGAAGAAACGATGTGCATTCGGGCTTACTGCCTCGTTCCAACAACATTCGCAGTAATGTTTTGAAGAATGCTACAATGGAGTATGTGGTGAATGCAACGGACGACGACACTGAATACATTACGGAAGCATCTGATAACGCTAAAAACGGCATCACTACGAGGCACAAAACAAACGGAACGTGGAGGAACGATAACGACTTCAAACACTTAGAGAATATCTGAAAGAGCTCTAGAAAAGTCCTGAAAGAGAATATCCTGCTGCAATCCGGCTGACTTGTCGCCTAGTCAGCGAATCTTCTCGAAGTATGTGCTTTGTTGAAGAAACAAGTGAAAAAGGGTTTAGATAAATTTGGCGTTACACCGGATGGAATTGCTGTGAACTCACTCTGTTTTCTTTTCCTTGAGAGATTTCCCCTTGCTTAACTGTAACTTAAAGATTGTTCGACAGTTGACTGTTTTTGGCCTAAATGCTTGTTCAAGCTCATTTCACACTAAACTTATTATTTCATTACCTTCTATTTTCACTCAGTCATTTATCATCTCTCGCCAACTTTGGGTGAAATATAAAGCGAAGCAAAAAAGGGAAACACTATATGTTCCTAAGAAGGGAAGAAATGAATCTTTCCGTCGCCATAGAATTTGTTATTGTTTGATGCGACGAAAGGAAAATGAATGAGCGAAGGTCTCAGCAATTAATGGAAAGAAGAGTGGTTTTGTTCTGATGGCAAGAACATTCTGAATTCTAGTGGTGACTCTGAAAAGTTCACAACCAGGATAACACCAATTTCACCACGGTAACAATCACAACTGACTGAGAAAACTGTTTTGGTTGGAGTTCCGTAATGCCAATACACTGACGTTTCGGAGTCGTCACCACATTAAGTGGATGACCGACGCTCAGTGGATGGGAAGTTTCCCACCTTGCAAGTGTGTTTCTTTCAAGATGGAAGTAGTTCTTCGTGCAAGTTTACTGTTAGTTAGACTTCTGAAAAGAAGTGGCAAAACTTCTCTGCCTGAGTGACTCACAGGAGTTTCAACCCCTGTTGTGTTCTACAGTTTCACAGATAGGAATGACCACGTGTGAATACCTAACCGTGAACAATATATTAGGATAACTCGACTAAACTTCTAGATATACGTAGGCTACACTTTTCTCCGACTGCACCAATAACGGACGATTTCATTCAAACTTGAAAACGCATCAAATATCGTAAACGACTTTAAAAAACGTTTTGGGAGACAAAATTAATGGGTAGCGTTGAATAGACAGAGGTGATATCTATATGCATCTGTACAGAAGAAATCAATGAATTTAGTTCTATTAGGGAAAATTCACGGCGTTCCCAAAAATTCCGGGTCATAGAGAGCATCTTTGAAGCCTTAGAAATTCTCGTGGACGAAGGAAAAGTAAGAAATCTCACAGCTACTGATGTCATGATGAAGAAGCAAATTCATTTCGAACAAAAACACGCTGTTGAGATGAGTGGCAAGATTTTTCATGAATTCAGAAAATGTCATGAGATCTTATAGATTTTTATCAAAAAATTGTCGGAGATGATGTCTTTTTCTCATGTGAACGGATGTGATAACGACTCACTTTGTCCGCGCTAACGCATGAAACGGCCAATATGAAAGGAAGTTCCATGGATGGAGAAAAACCAAGCAGATGACACGGAGCACCACCTGCCTTTGCTTTGCTATTCAACGAATCACCACAAACTTAACCCTGTTGTTCCCTACGTAACCCTGGAAAGAATTTTCCTCTTCATTCTCTAATTGCTAAGTTTTTTTGCAGTGCCATATCTCTTCGAATCGCGTGAAGTTTAAAGCAGTGCGCACTTGTGTATGATGTGAAATGGGTGTTTCTTTTTTATGACCAACTAATTTTTTTTTACTGTTTACATATACGCACACACGAATTTATCTAGTTAGATGACACGACTTTAAGCACTGTGGGGATCCCAGCAATTCCTTTCGGTTCGTTCTCTCGCACCGCCCACACACAAAGATTGTCAGATTTCCGTCTGGTTTCGAATGAAGTTGATGGATCCTGTCTTCTTTACAAATGCTGTTGAATGCCGAACAAGTTAGCATCAACGAAACCCTGAAAGAGTTCTACTAGTGCGTTTCCACATGCTCAGCATAAGTAGTCACCTCCATTGGTGAATCAGAGGGCGCTTTTCTTAAGAAACTTGGCTCCAATTTGCTGACCCTAAAAAGATGTACGATTTTGTTGGCCTATTCCAGGATCGAACCAGCAACCATACGTGAGCTACAAAGCACCTCTAAGCAGGGATGCAAAGGGTAATTTATTAGTCGATAATTCTTGCAGCCAATAAAGATATAATAAGAAAAACTTTTAAGTGGAATATTGATGGAGAATAAGAACTAACACAGAAAGCAAAAGCCTGCTGCATCAATAAAGGATAACGGATAAACGAAAAAGGATAAAGCACTCAGTTCATCAATCCCTGAGGGATGCGCCATGCATTCGACTTCATTAAGTATCGTTGGAGGTAATTGAATTCATATCTGGCCTTTACAATGATCCGCGGTGGCCTACCGATGTATCGAGCCAGTGCTACTATCCTCCCAGATGGGTCTGGTAACAATTTGCCGACCCCGGAGGAATGGAAGGCTTGGTGGGCTATGGGCGTGGAGATCGATTCCACGTGTTTGCTGCAGGGCGTCTCCGACCACGGGGCCACACGCGCAAAAATGTGGCACCTAAATGCATTGAGAAAAACTTAGCTGGTGATTTCTATGGAAAACAACGATGCAAAACTAATATGATGAAGAAAGAGGTGAAAATAATAATCAAACTGTGAAGAAAGACTTCTGGGAAAGGCGCTCGATCAGTTTGAAATATTAATAGCGTTCTTTGTGAACATAATTGCCAGTAGTTCATAGAGGGTGCGAGTAAATAGTATTTAGAGGCACTAAGTGATGGATGGAGATTTGGTCGTTGGTTCAACCCCGTCTCTTCGATTCTAAAATCCTTTCATCCCTCCTAGCTGTTGAAACTGGTTTCAGACTCTCAGGTAAGGATAAATACGCTCACTTGATAAATCGGTAGCTTCCCACAGGTACGGACATGTGTCCGGAGATGTGATTGTATGGACATGTGTCCGGCATGAATCCCCTTCATGAAAATGGGTGCACGGCGCATCGCCTCGAGATTGACCTACACCCAATGCTCTAAGCTTTTTCCGTGAATGACCTGTGTTCCATACCTCTTTTACGAAACTCTTGTGGCCAAAGCTCTACCATTGGATCTTTGACGGTTTCTTGATAAAAAAAGAACCCATTCGACTTTGCAAAACTTTTTTCGGCTTCATTTCATTCTTGAATTCTTGCAAAACACCGCTGTTTCTTATTTGTATTCCAGTAAGCCTCCCAACGAACCTTTCTCATCTTGGGTTGGTAGGGAGGTGCTTTTGTGATTCAAAATACAATGCACAATGGAGAGGCAGTTTGGCTGCAAGTAGATAACTCAACTAATATGGAGTTAGGCATTTCCATCTAGAAGCCCAGCTTAGAGTAAATAAACGGGATGAATCCCCTTCGTTCTAGAAAGAATGCAATTCCACGGTTACAAAACTTTTTATCTTTTTTCCTTTATATCAAGGGTCATCAGAACAGAACCACTCTTCTTTCCGTTAATTGCTGAGACCTTCGTTCATTCATTTCCCTTTCGTCGCATCAAACAACAACAAATCTTCGTCAGGGCTCGATGTCGGTGCTTAAGCGACGAAGATTGTCAACGCTGGTGTCGGTCCACATCTCTTCAATCGTAAACATCCGATTCGGTTTGTTAGTTGTTTGAATGGATGTTCGCGGTCAAGCTTGTGTTGACGAGAACACCGAAGCGGCCGGCTCCTCTACTGTGGCTTGTTCCGAGGAAAAGTTCTTCTCTACTGTCATTGACGGCGTTGAATGGGTGGCAATTTCTCGCCACTGCTAGTCCTGTGATGTCGTAGCGTATTTTTTTAGCCTGCGTCATCAATTTCATAGTGAACAACACAGAGGAAAGTCGACGCGCACTATGAAGAGGAGCCATCATTTTGGTATGTTCCAGATTTAGGCATTTTAAACAGACTTGAAACTTTAGCAGCTTCTCTTCCTCTCCAACGGTGTTGTATAAGAGGGCTCACTCGAGGTTAGGAAAATGCCGTCCACTTATTTTACTCTGTTTGGCAAGTTTTAGGTGAACTCTAGGCACCTCAAATGTGCTTTCCAATTAATTAATTGCAGACCGTCTTTTTGGTGTTCAATTGGTACCAGGCTTGGAACTGGAAAACGTTCACTGCTTGCAATTTAAGTGGCAACGTTGTAGCTTGGCCATACCTGAACTCCATGTAGAATTGACTTGACCACCATTCAACAACATTCATAAAGAAGACAACAATGCTCTAGCAGCAACCGAACCCACACGCATAAAATTCGAAGATCTTGGTGGATGACGAGTGCCAGGAAAAGAATCGAATGAAAGAGATCGTAATAGTGGATGTGGAGACGAGTCATATAAGTGGAAAATGATTAATGAACGGTTTTCAATACAGTGGAAAATCGTCGTGAATATAGACGAAAATTCAGAGCTATGCCCATCCTTAGTCGCTCATGCTCGATTACTAGGTTTCCCTGTCCGATTTTAAGTAGCACGCATAAATTTGTAGCAACCACGATAGCAATTTTTGCAATCAATGTGCTTCCGCCAGTACTGTACTGCAAGCTTAAAAATCCATCGAAAAAAAGGTTTGGTCGTTTAGAGCTTTAGATCCAATAAATTAGTTGAAGGCTTTGTTGATTGGCTTTCGCTCTGAGGATGTGTTCTTGCAAGCGAAGTGAAAGAGGAAGAGTTTCGTAGCGCACACTCCTCCAGCTTTCGAGCCCCCATTTCTAAAACAAAAGAGTGCGGGTGATCCCACTGTGGAATTCAACTCACTTCAAATAGAAGCGATGACAGAAGCTCTTAATAGCTATGGCGTTCCTAATCAATATTACAGAGATTTTTCGTGAAATATAAAAGAATTTGGCAACCAAGGTGTAGCCCTTCTACGAGGACATCAGCATCGACGTGAACAGAAGGCTTCGATAAGGCGAAGTCATCTACCTTAGA